AAGGTAAGTGTACTTAACCCTATATCAGCTTAGCAAGATTTGGATACTGGGTACCTACCGATACCTGATTGTGTGATATACATTTATCAATATACAGGGTGTTACATTAATATGAGTAAAGATATGGTTACTTCAATATATTGTGACAACAATGAAGGCGAGAAAATAGAAAGAAGTTCCTATGAACTTTTACTCGTAGTTTTCAAGATAAGAAGTTGATCTATCATCTTAAAAAGTTCGTTGAAATTAAAGTGGGTGATCTGGTTCAAAGGTCAGAATTTGAAGAATTACTCGAAGTGTGTGGGCAAAACGGAATATCTATTGCAACAATAATGACTCATTAGAAATGATTATGTAGCAAAAATTATTCAGTTTACTATAAACAATGAAGTCTCTGAAACTTTCGTGGACGGAGAGGCAGTTTTCCAGCATATTGAAGCAAAAGGTTGTTTACTTCCGCTTGCATTTCACTTTCGGAACATTTTTGAGAAGGGTGGATCAAGACACGCCATGGACGGTTGAAACACATTCGACAGAACAAGGAAGATCATACTGCTATGGTATTCTCAAGACTATAAGCATTATACCAACCCACTTGGATATAGACTGGTATGTTATTTGTTCTCACTTTCATCTTGTTTCAGAGGTTTTAGCTTCTTCACACTAATGCGTTTATTTTTTCTGTTAATTATTCTTGTACTATTTCAGGTTAACATTGATTATCAAGAACCGATAAAAGGAATATATTGATGGATTCTTGAGAAGATTTTTTCAAGAAATGAAATGAAACTGAGTTTTAATCTTCTCCTGAATTTGCTAACATAGTTAGCGAAACACGTGTCGAGGCGTTAAAAAATCGGTTTGGTTAGTGGTAAAACAGTGTAGTGTATAAATAGTCCTGATAACAATCTCTGAGATTCACGGTACAATTTAGTTAATTGTACAGAAATTTCTGTTCTGGTAATGAACAGTTCTATATCATCAATAGAACCATTCTGTAAACACAAATGATTAATAGAACCATTATTCAACCTGTACAGAAATATCTTTCGCGATTATGAATATTTCTTTACCATTCAACGAACTATTTCGTTCCGGTTATAATACATTTCCTATCAATGGTACAGAATTCAACAGAACCATACTTTAACATATAAATAACTATCGTTTGACACAAGGAACACATTCTGTTATACCAATAGAAATTTCTTTATGACTATCGAACTATTCTTTAATGTTTCAGAATTCTAGCGAATTCGGCTTTCCAGTGTACCGAACTATTTGTTGAGACAACGAACAAATTTTTTCACAATGAAAGAAACTTTCTGTAGAAGTACCAAAATGTCTTTTGATGTTGATGAATCTCATTTGGGGATTTTAAAAGAAATGGATTATGATATTAACAGAAACTTTCATTGGCGCTATAGCAAAAGAAGTTTTTGTAGTATTCAAAGATTTTTTTTTAATATTTACCTCGTCATTTCTTTCTGTGAACCCTCTGTGTGATATATGTCTGAATTGAGCCTCCCATGGAAATCTTGATAATTTGATAATATATAGGGCCCGATATAGGGTGTTCCGTTTGAAATAATTGACGCGGACATGATGAGTGCCACGTGGATAACCCTGTATATTCAGTTTCGTCGTATGAATGTGGAATATTGAAACAAAAAGTCGACCTATTTCAAGAGATTCTTTAAGAATTGATAGTTTGACTGGTAATTAATTTATTCAAAACTTCACGAAAGCACTGTATGTCTGTCTGGCTAGGGGTTAGCCACCTGAACGGTCTGGCTACTGGCTCTCATTGTTACCCAAGAAACATTGTTTGAAATTCAGCTTCTTTACTTCAACAAAAGTTAAGTTTCAAGGGTGTGCCGTGGTAACGGTCTGGCACGGGGTTGGCACCATATTTGGCACCATATGGCAACGTGTCTGGCAATGGATTTACGTGGTTTCTAATATTATTCCAAATGAACTATATAAAAAAATACCCTTCATAGTACGACGAAAGTAAGTTGTTATTTTTGCACCTTAGCTCCCTGTAACCTCCCAAACTCGTTCCCAAAGGAACCATGACTTAAACTTCATATTCGCCCATCGTTCTTACCTTTGTTGGGAGCATGCGCTGAGAATCTTTCAGCAATTATAAAATGACGAAGGTCTGGCGTTCATGGGATCTTGCTCTAAAACTATGATCCTCAAAAACACACGATTCAAATTTGAATCACAGAAAAAAATACCTGGTTTGAGTATTGCAGGAGAGCAAAATAAATTCTTTTTTGGCTGTAAAAATCACCTGAAATGTTGTGTAGAAGCAATAGTAGTAACAGCTCAATCCTCGGCTCAATCACTCTTTATTTTCGAAACTGTTTGATTTTTGCAAAAAACTTCACAATGGTTTTCTAGATATCCCGAACCTCGGAGAATACCTGAAACAACAAATCCTCAAGCTCGTCTTCAAGTATGAGAGTATGATATTTTTGCACAATTATCACTAGTGAGGTACCGAAACACCCCACGATACCAGTTAGGGGTTAAATTCACATAAAAAATCAATGTCTTTTACTTTGGCTCACAGTATGTCGGTTTTATGACGAAACACCCTGTATACGTGTACGTTATATATTCCCTGAAGGTAATTGAAACGGACGGCTATGGAGATACCGATCTATTAATAATGAAAGTTCTAATTGCGATTTTTAACGTAATACCTCGTTTTGTTGTAATCTCTCAGTATGAAATGGTATTGTTTGATTTTTACCTGGGGTCTTGCAAGGAACTTAATTGCCATCTCGAAAATCTCATTAATCCTTAGAAAGTTTATAATGCCATGTTATTTATTAGTTTTTCTTAGGGCGAGGCTCTATATGTTTATGGTCGGTGATTTCATTAAAGGGTAAATTACAATCTCAATCTCCATGACAATATTTCAAGTTTACAATTATCAGCTGGTGAACTATAATTGATTATTAATTGAGATTAATATTGAGTTATGCAGGTATTGAAAACTTCTCACTTGTATTATCTAATAAATCAGCTGATTTCATTTTGATTTGTTTAATGATTTTTAACAATATTGGATATTTTTTGACACTTGACAGGTGCTTTGAAATATTATAGTTGAATTATAGATGTTCTTGAATGAAGACAAGTCAAAAATAAGAACATAACGCGTCAGCGGATACATGACATGATATATTGGACAAACACGTCGGAGCATAGGAACAAGGTTCATAGGACATGTTGCTAGTTCAGGATCGGTTTGGAAAATCAAGTGTTTTGAACACTCTTGTGACTGGTTATTCTCATTTCATCAACTTTAAAAAGATTCAACTTTTAGGGCACTGAACAGTTTAAAAATAATTTTTATTGATCGCAAAAGGTGAAGGGCTGCTCATGAAACAAAATTGAGGTTGTGTCCCCGATTATGGTACTAGCTGTCCGTCTCAGAATGGTTGGTGTACACTCGTCTACAGTGAACATGTCGTGGTTGCCGACACCGTCCATGTGCGACATGTTCTCTGAAGGCGACTGTACCCATTAAAAAATTATACACTTATTTTGTTGCAGTCGTTCTGGGAAATCAATCTGGATGAGGAATTTGACAACACATGATTGTAGCAGCATCAATTTGAACATACCAATACACATAATGTCATACATTATTCAAACATCGCTTATTTTTATAAAACTTCTCCAGGAATTAATTCGATCGTATTACAGTATACGGAAACTCCTGGACTTTTTCGATTATGTATAACAATCATTATTCTCGATCACTTGGTATGTCGTAACTAGACATTTTTGATACGTTTTGAACAATGATTCTAAAACTGGGAGGACGTACGCATCGTCTTTTGAAAATCGCATTCCGAATGAAAGTCGATTGATTTACAAAAAAAATATCGCATCTCGAAAAACGTTAAAAATTTGGGTGGTCAACTTGCTTCTTTCAGCACTTCAATTCAATGATTTCAGTATTATACAGGGTGTCCCAGCTAAAACTTATTAACCCCCCTAATAGCCGATGTCGTTGAAAAAATTTAAAATCGCTCGGACAGGTCGATTTCAATTTGGCGGAGAACACATTTTTCTCCAATTATCATATTCCAAAGTTGAAATCTTGCAGCGTAACGGGCATCAATTGTTGATTTTCAAATGGAGCACCCTGTATATCATTGCATTTTTAGATTCTCCCTGAAGAGCTGTGTATATCAATAATGCATCACACTTGGTGTCTAGCGCTGGAATGATTACAGATAGGGTGTTCAAAATCGAGATTTTTCAGGGTTTTTTTTGTGTCGAATACAGGGCGGTTCATGATTCTGAATTTTGCACTACCTTGTATTCGTCTAAATTATATATCAGTAGATAGTGAATCAAAAGTTAAGATGGGGACATGTGAGTCGTTCTGACCAATAATGAATGGTTTCGACATGAAAACAACCTGAAGTTGAAAAATCTCGATTTTGAACACCCTATATCTCTGTAATCATATCCGCTAGACACCAAGTGTTATACATTGATGCTCTTCAGGGAGAATCGAAAAATGCAATGACATCCAGAGTTGATGCACATTACGCTTCAAGATTTAAACTTTGGAATAAGATGATTGCAGAAAAATGTGACCCCCGCCAAAAAGGTGTCCACCGCCGAGCGATTTTAATTTTTTTAACGATATCGGAGATTTGGGGGTGACAACTTTTCAGCTGGAACACACTGTATTTTTGTTGCGTGCAACTACGACAATTTAAATCTGTTTTATTGAAATAGATTTGGGTAGATTTTTTTTTGTTCTTTTCTTGGTGTAAATTTGATGTTAGAATATTCACAGGATGTTTTTTTTTTGAGTACTTATTCTTCATCAAAATTATAGAATCTTCTGAACGAGAAATATTGAGGGATAACTCATTTTCAGTTGACTGTTCCATATTTCTAGACTTCACAACTAATTTAGAAAACAAACTCTCACTACAAACGAATAGGTCTTCTCATACCCAAGATCCAGTCGAACCCCATCGCCTCAACCTCCTAGGAAAGAACCCATGCGCCGAAAAACTGATATTCAAATGCATGGGAATACACGAAATAGTCCCAGATTTGTTCCGATGCGCCGGAGAGATCAACTGATGCGGCTCCAACATTTTCTCCTTTTCAATGAAGCAAAAAACTTCCACTTTTCACTCATGAATACATCGCGACAATCAGTCTCGAACTAGAAGTAGAACCAACAAATAAACTAACAGTAGGCATCAACAAGTCAAAGTTCGCGCTCGCGGAAAAAATCAACATCGGTAAGCAAAAACCGCGCACAGGTAGGATCATAGTTCGAAAACTGAGTGCAATGCCCAACAGAAGCACGTGATAGAGAGAACTTGACCAGCCTAGTCGGGGTTGTTTCTAAATATAACCTGAGAAGCAACAGGTAAAACGAGATTTCGCTAATGGCTAATCAGTTCTCCATCTACCGTAGGTACCGTAGGTGGTGCGTTGCTCCTAGCCATAGCGAAAGTGGTGCTAGACTAACATAACATCGTCCATCGCGGTGCATGGGACCTTTAGCCTGCGAGGCGATAAGCTATGGTACCAATGGTACCGTACCGCTAGCTGGGCTACCCCCATCGTGGCTATTATTTATTGTCGGCAGCTGGGTATGGTGTCAAGGCACGCGACTACACATTACCGTTTTCGATTCGTTGAACATCTTCATTGTATGGTAGGCGTTGCATCGTTAGAAAAAGGAAGATTATAATAGTCCAAGAACCGGCTGCAAATTTCGAGCGTCATCTATAACGACCCAAACAACGTTCAAATATACTTATTCCAGAATATTCTAATAGCATGATCTCAGATTGATCATTGAATATTCTCATTATGCAAATTATACTCAATGAATATTCTATTTGACATATTCTCAGAATATTCTTTCGGGTCGACGGAGTTTCATCTGACTCTCTCATCATGAATGCTGGTGTTCCGCAAGGACCAATTCTAGCATCAACACTATTTCTACTCTATATCAACGGTTTGTTGGAAGCAACTTCATGTCCAGGACACAGCTTCATCAGAAACGAACGAGGTAGAAATGTTGACAACATAAATATGGACTTGGCAACAATTCTCGAATGGGGATCCAATAACTTGGTAGATTCCAATGCAATATACAAGCATGCCTTTTCTCTAGAAATGCCGATATCACTGTGCCCAACATAAGCTTGTCAGGAGTAACCATACCATTGAAGACATCCATTTCGATGCTTGGTATTACTATCAGCAATAACCTTTCTTGGGAAAATCACGTGAGATCAATTGCTAAAAGTGCATCCCAAAATCTTGGTTTTCTGTTTCGGGCCATGAGCTATTTCACTTCCAGTCAGTCCCATATTTGGAGTGCAGCACCAAAACATAACCTGAAACTGTTGGATTCTGTTCAAAAGAGGGCAATTCGTCTCATGGGTGATGCCTCGCTCACAAACTCACTTCTCTGGAACACCGTAGAAAAGTTGGCGATCTGGCCCTATTTTATAGATATTTCCATGGACGATGCTCTTCTGAAATATCAACAATTGTTCCTTCCTTGGCAGTCCCCGCGAGATTAACCCGTCGAGTTGAGGCTTCGCACACATCTCTTTCCAAAGAGTCGTTCATCCAACGAACAGCGAGGCTCTGGAACACATTGCCAAGAGAGGTGTTCCTCGAGGCATATAACCTCCAGAAATTTAAGAAGAACACCAATTCCTACCTTATTTCCCTTGGTTCTCACGATGTTCTCTGAACATTACAGAATATCCCTTTTCGTGGGAACCAGAACATAAAAAAGCTGTTAAAAGGCTCTTAGACTATTGTTGAGTCTTGAATTTCCCTGAAGATTCGTCTTTTCCACTTCTGCAAGTATTGTTTTATCTGATGCGAGATGGTATTAACCTCCTATAAGTCGATCTTTTTGTGGTTCAACTTCCGTCTGCTGATGGGGTTGATTAACTTACTTTGGACCAACTATTGGAAACCCTACATCAGTGTTTTACAAACTGTGGGGCGCATACATATGATTTAGGGGCGCATTACAAATTGAAAATAAAAATTATAATGATTAAATACTATTGATACTTCAAAAAAATCTATATTGGAGTTTTATCTAAAAATGACTAGGAAAAGGCAACAGAATCCTGATCGCGTTGGTTTTTATAACGGAGTAGTCGTTTCGAAGCTCAATCCAGAATTTTCTTAAAGATTTGTTAACAATGTTTGACTCTGGTAAGGTACTTGATGAAACATCTATCGGTTGGTCTTCTTTTACTTATAGTGGAAGACTATATTCTCAAATAGCTTTAAAACCCAGATCCAGCTTGATAACTTGAGTGAAAAAAGTAGAATATAACTTATTTTGAATAACTATAGGTACCATTATTGATATTTCAAATTGTTAGAACAAGTACTCGTTAGTTTTTGAGAAAGTGAAAATTTCTTTCATAGTTATATACTCCATACTGTGATGCATGGCTAGTCATAATCTCTTTATTTTTCATTCAATCATAATGAAACAAATATTGAGTTTCTGTTTGGGTGAATTCAAATTGGGAATTTCAAAACGGTACCTGATAAATAGTTCTTGAGTCATCACAATAGTTAGCGTCTTGATTGGACCATCAGGGCCACTCACAATTTGACGAATAATGTCAATGATTTTGATTGCATCCAAAAGAAGGATAATGTTTTTCACAGGTCTGTATGTTTGTTGTTGTTTGGACATGTAACCATATACATGGAATGTGCACTCGAGCAGTTATATATAATACTAATGTCACTCTAATTATTTTACGTGAATGAAGGTTTTCTTATTGATAATATTTTATGAATAAAAACTGGTTTCTCTCATTTAAGGTTCAACCTCTACTATATCAGCTATAAATACTAGGTTAGAATGAATAATATTTTTGTATTCGGTATTTTTTGTTAATTAGATATTTTCCAGAAAACAATACGCGTTTATAGGTATTTAATTATATTCTAATTATATCAGTGAATTTATGAATTTATGAATTAAAGTTAGACTCACAGGAGAAATCATAAGCTTGAATTCAAAGTGCGATAATGCGCGATCATATACATAATCAGATGGAAACATTCACCTTCTATGTTATCAAAATTGTCCAAGCGATTGAGTTTCTTCGTTTCTTCAATAGGTATACAAATATAATATAAATTTTTCCGCACTTTTGGAAAAGCATCTATAAAATTTGCTAACCTGTTGAAGTTAAAATTCAATTTGCCAAGTACGAGTTGGTAATTTCGTGGGTTTGCTTCGAAATTATCTCGAAAAACTGAAGTCACTTAGCAATGATTCACTTTTAAATCAATATGGGTCACTTTACTTTGGAGGGAGCAAAATAGTGACAGCGGTATCCTCTATTTTCTCTTTGACAAATATAAGTTTCAATAAGAGAAGTAATTTTTCACAATGTTCACTGAACATATAAAGTCTACAAACTGAAAAGTGAACGTATAAACATATCGGCATCGTATCGGTTGACTCTCATGATGAAACTCGGACAATTCCTGAACTCTCAAGCAATAAAAATTCCTGTGAATTTTAGTGTTTTTTTTTTAATTACCTATACTCGAATTATTGTTCATGTCATATGTCATCTCGTACATTGTAATAAAGATATAATATTCTGTTCCTTACTCTTGAAGCTCATCACTGTACATTAATACTATATAATAATATATAATGTATATTATGCTAGTATTTTCGACAAATAAATTGATTGATTATTGGGTTACCTAAGTTTCAATTGATTTAATATCTATATATCAGATGTTAAAAAAGTCTCAGTTCAATATGAATTGTAGAATTATCACACATTAACGTTTCACAATCCAGAGCCACCTGCCACTAAAAAAATCGTTATTAGGTATGTATTTTTTCGGGTGAATATTTATGGTGATGATGAATGTTCCATTTCTTTCGAACGTAAACAATTTGGTGTGATGTTTATGCATAACGTTCAAATTCATCTCAGTTATTGTGAAAACACAATATTCGAATCAAAATTCCATCAATAATATAGGTATAGTAAACGGTATTAAGCATAAACAAATCAGATTTGAACTGGATCTAGACATGCGGAAATGAAAATCAGACATTAACAAACACTTTTTCGAAATTTCATCGTATATCTTGGCGGTTTTCGAATCAAAACAAATGCAAACTGCGTCGTTGTCGTTGTAAATCGAAAATATAAACAAACGACTAACAAAATTCGATTTCGTAATAGCTAGACATGATGGATCCTAATGAATCATCACTTGGCTTGAATAAGAAGATCATAATACTGTGTGAATTTGAATCAATAAAATCAGGAAATTATATTGAACACGTGTACTTTTTTATTGCCATTTGCCATTCATTCTACAATTCTAACCGTTTTTCTTAGTGATCACGCGTCACTGATTTCGAGACCACGTGGCCTTTTTCCGAGCAGTACCATATGTTACATCATAAGGGAATTCCGGTAAGTTTTATAATGCTGCTTTGTAACTGACAAGGAAAAGGTCCCCTCCTGGTGTGTGATATTTACCTAATTTCTATCATGTGTTCACCGAAAGAACGAACAGATAAACTGAGAAAAATGCTTGTGATGTTTATATTATTTTCAATTGGAATGCCGTGCTTGTTTTCATTGAATTCCTATCAGTAGCAGTGCTGCCGCGAGCAATTATTATTGATTGATGTACAGGGTGTATCTGAATAAAACCGATAAAATTCAGGGGTAGATTTCTTGTGATATTTTAGGAAATAAAGTTCATATAAACATGTGGCCTATAAATATTTCCATAAAAAATCTTTTTTCTATTCATTTCTCAATTGTATTTTCATCAATTTCAATTAAACGTTGTGGTTTTGTCAATAGTAATATGGAGCTTCTTCTACTGCAATCAGATTCGAAACTCGAGTTTCATATTTTTATCAAATTGAACTATTGAAATAACAACTTTTTAATCCTCTGTGTGATTTTTGTTTCTAGCTACTTTTTGAGGAAACAATAAAAAATCGATTCGACTCCAAATTTTAATGTAGGTGTTTTCAGAGACTTCCATTGAGATTAATAATAATAATCAATAACCCCAATTAGAATCATTTTGAACTTTTGGGGCTTTCTCAGTCTCCATCCATACTGAATGTTGTCATCTTGAAAGCTTATACAGGGGGGTTATAAGCAAAAACAATTAATACTTCGAACATCCTGTATCTCAAAAATGGAGCAAGTTAGGACACATGTTTATATAAACTTCAGTTGCTAGAATGTCACAAGGAAACACCACTTGAATTTTCTCGGTGTTACTCAGATACAACCTGTATAGTCACTTGTATTTCAGGAAGTCCCAATTGTATTTTGAATTTCAGAAGGCGTCAATTGTATTTAAGAATAATCAATTATTATTCGGAAAGTATTAATTGTATTTCGAGTGCTAGAGTTTTCACATTCATCCTTCAAGAAATCAATAAATCGTCATTTCTGACCCCTGCCAAACCTTTTTTCAAAACCAAAAATACAATGAGATCATCAAATCTAACTCAAACAAAACCAAAAAATGAAGAACAACCATCAAAAAATTGTATTTACG